CTGCACGATGAATAAAGACACGTCATCCATGTATTCAAATAAATAGCTAAAGGATATCATATAGAAAGTCCGAAATCACTTAGCTGAGGGCTACGAGATTGATAATGGAGCTTTTGAAATTTATTCTCCCAAAGCCCAAAACCGTAAATCGCCGAACTTTGCGGAGAGGGCCAATTGCAAGTATTCAATGCCCTACATCATTTTGTGAAAAGTTATAGATAGGCGCAAATATATGCATGCACTCGTTAAGGTCCTCCTATACTTCATTTACCTTTGAGTTTCGATCGCTATTTTTTGTAATTGAGAAGTAGCAATTGCTGATAAGCATAACACATATTCGTAGAGTTCTTTGAGGTTAAAAAAAGAATTGCATTTTCTTTTTTAGCAGTAATTGTAGTCATAACGTGATGAAATTGACTGTTGGTTACGCAGTAAATACTATTGGCTTCCTCACTTAGCCTGTTATCAGCAGACATTAATGACAGCTTCTGACAACCAGCATTTTGGCCTAATTACGGCTGAAAGACAGTCTATGTAAGGACGGGTTGCTTGAGAGAATGTTGACCTACAATAAATTAGAATACGGTAATTAAGTCAGTATCATATCACTTAGTGGATCCATATGATGTCATCTTCAAATTTCAGCGTTTTTTTACAAATCTTTAACAACCTCTTGCTTTTTTCCTAATATTCACCACTTAGAGTCGTGATTACAACGTAATAATGATTATGATCAGGGTAATAAAGAGTGATGACAATTAGGTAAGGCATGATAAGGTTTAGAGTTAATGATCAGTTCGGTAAACCTAGACTTTTCTTAAGTCGGGTCAGCGCAGTGCATGTCGTAGAGCGTTAAAGCTGGAGTAAACGACAGTATAGTATGCAGTACTAAGCTTTAGTGCCAGTATTGTCTCCTACGCTTACCTGATGTGGACGAGTGGTTCAGAAGAAAATTCGATGCCGGGACAGATCGCTCAACACTGTGTCAAAAATTTCTCTTCAAAAGCCTTTGAAGGATTGCCCTAGAGATTTGT